ATATATATTATATATATATATATATAACGTACCCGTTCACAAGCGAGTGAGAGGCGGTGTAGAATCCACTGATCTTCCCACTTAAGATCGGTGAAGTCTATGACGTAATTATTTGAATTATTATATTTTTGTTCTTTTCCTGCGGATATTATCTGAATACCATTAGGTATAAAAGGTGTCTTTTTGCCATCAACATCAAGAGCCCATTTATCAAGGGCAAATCTTGTACAATTCCATATCTTATTGGCAAACTGGCGGTATCCAACAACACGATTTAAATCAAGATTAATGTTACGTCCTTGACGCATATATGCAATAAGACCAAGACGAAGAGCATCACATCCGCATGCAGGAATACCATCTTTAAATTCCTTTCTTAAGACAGTTTCTGATCTCTTGATTTCCTTAGGCTGCAAGTTTCCTGCATGCAACTTGGCAATCAGACCATCAAGAGATATACCATTTATGACCTCCAATGGATCAATTACGTTGCCTTTAGACTTTGACATCTTTTGGCCTTGAGAATCGCGAACCATCGGATGAAGGAAGACAGTCTTAAATGGCAATTTGTTTGTTAACAAGAGCGACAACATCACCATCCTTGCCACCCAGAAAAATAAAATATCGTGGCCTAAGGAAATAAATGCATGCACAGAAAAGCGTTTCAAACAAAATTGAACTCAAAAATCACATTTTAATTAGAAGAGGAATAAATTAAAAAAAAAACACGAATAACAAGAAAACGAAGGAAAGCTGTACGATCTGGGGTGTATGGGCACCTCTGATTATCGTACCTGTTTCAAGTAGAGTAGTAGGGAAGAAAGCTTTGAATTCTTCTGTTTCTTTAGGCCATCCAAAGACACTAAAAGGGAATAAACCAGAAGAAAACCATGTATCTAATACATCTTCATCTTGTTGTACAACAACTGCATTCTTATCAGGCAATTGGAACCTCTCGCACGCAACAGCCTTTGCTTCCTCTTCGCTGTGTGCTGCAACCCATGCCTCCCCTGACATATTACACTTCTCTGCGGGTATCTTTGGCTCAATAACTTTATATGCAGGAATTCTGTGGCCCCACCACAGCTGACGTGATATACACCTGCATATACATCACAAATAGCAACAACGGCCAGCTATAAAAGTTCATTAAGATATAAAACGGAGGGGAAATGTTATAGGAAATGCTACTAATACAAACAACAGCTAAGGACTGAGGGGGCGCCACACAAAAGGATAGCAAATAGGAATATAATAACAAAGAAAAAAAGGATAAAAGACCATAAAATATCTTACCAGTCTTGTACATCTGTTAGCCAATACTCCCATGTAGCGACGTGATTCTCCGGCTTAATTTGTAATTCTTTATTACGTACTGCCTCCACACTACGACGGCCAGCCTCCTTGCAATTCATCCACCTGCAGCAGCAGCAGCAGCAGCAGCAGCAGAAGCAGAAGCATCAGGGAATAAGGAGCAGCCAACACCAACGGAGCAAGAGCAGCAGCGGTGGCACAACTAGCTATCGAATCTGTTCCTGCAGCAACGAAGCAACATAAGCAGCAGCAGCATAAGCAGCAGCAGCAGCATAAGCAGCAGCAGCAGCAGCAGGAAGGAGCTTACCATTGAGGTACTAACAAATATTCAATAATATCTCCGCTGCGGCTGCAACGAGGAAGTTGCATGGGCTTGCTGTTTGGCACTTTATCCCTTAGTAAACCCTACAACAAATAACAATAAATATAATAATACAATTAATTAATTAATTAATTAATACTAATTAATTAATTTAATTAATTAATCAACTAATTAGTAGTAATAATATTGCATCTGTTGTGTTGTATATTATAGCGAAGGGGCATTTCCTTGTGTTATTATACAATATAGGAAATATATATATATATATATATATATATATATA